AAGAAGTTTATTCTTCGCCTATTCAATCAGAGCAACATTTGAGAAATCGTATCGTAGCTGCAGCGAACAGAATATCGCAAGAACAGTGCCTGGCTGCTACAAGAGCCGTGTTTGACAGATGCAATGCTTGTATTGCTGCAAGAGGTGCACATTTCGAACAAAATCTTCATTAAAAAGTTTATAAATAAAATAATTAAAATAATAAATTAAATATATTTTTTTCTTTTTTCGTGATTTCCTGCGAAACAAAGCAAAAAGGAGCATATGTCTATAGGACTTTTTTTCTTAGTTTTTTACTCCTCTACACGCTCCCGAAGTTTTGCCATTTAATTTGGAAACACCCTGTATACCTTACATACCTGATCTATATATTGTATTATTCTATGTTCGATCTCAGAAAGTTACGGTAAGTTAAAATTTTAAACGCGACACAAAATACATTCTAATTCAAGCGTCCTTAAAGACATAATTATTGTCCATTAACCCTAGCTATACACACTCTTTTTTTACCCTTGATATACACACTCTGGTGGCGTCCCTGGAACCCCACCTATATTTGTCGCCATAACTTCTGTAAAAATGGACATACACTGCCAGTCAAAAATCTTTGGACACCATGCATAGGCATAGGTATTTACGATATAAGAATAAAAATGTTTAAAACAAACATGGATATTCGATCAAAACCAAAGAAAACATTGTATTTATTTATAAAGTATAAATATTTATACTTTAATTTTTTGTTTTGTTTTTTGTAAGATATTTATAAGAAACAAAACAAAACGTTATCATTTGACCCTTACCAACCCTTGGAAAAAATCAAACCTTTGTAATCTTCTAAAAATAAGCATTTAGTTGATAACAGTGATTTCAATTTCCATTCCGTTTGGCGCTGTATCTTTGTCCGTGTATCTGCAAATATTTCCGCTAAGTTTCTTTTGTATCATTGTAACGTGAAAACAATTGTAAAAAGTTGAGAGACAAGGATTTGATAACAAGGTATGTGATGTTCTAGTATTAATACAAGTTTTTATTTTTTATTGAATTGAAAAAAAATGTTTGTGTGAATTATAAGAGATGGCTCTACGATTACAAACAAATGTGGACTGAGAGACGAGGGCCGTAATCAATGCATACTACAACAATGATGGTCTTTCTATTCGTAACATTGCCTCAAAATTGAAGATCCCTAGATACACTGTTGCATACACCATCAAGCGTTTTCGTGAAATTAGAACCAACAAAGATCGACCACGAAGTGGGAGGCCACGGGTGGGAGACTACGAAAGCTGAAGATAAATCCATAGTGCTGCTCTCCAAACGAGATAGACGATGAACTGCTCCTATAATTCAAGCAGATTTCAACTTAGGCCACGACAAGCAGATATCTGTAGCAACTATCAAAAGGAGACTTAGATCAGCTGGTCTCTTTGGTAAACAACTTTTTGGTTACTGTACGGAAACCACTTCTTCGTTCAGTAAATAAAAAGAAAAGATTGCAATGGGCATAGAAACACAAGAATTGGACTGTAGAAGATTTAAAAAAAGTGTTATGGACGAATGTGTCTAAATTTGAGACATTTGACAGCAAAAGAAGAATATACGTACGACGCTCGGCGAACGAAAAGATGATGTCCAACTGCATTACACCAACTGTCAAACATGGTGGAGGATCCGTAATGGTTTGGGAGGCATTTTACTACTATGGAGTGAGTAATCTGTATAGAATCAATGGAAATCTCGATCAGAAAGGATATCACAAAATCCTTGTTCTTCACGCAGTTCCTGCAGGAAAAACTGATCGGCCGGGGATTCATTATGCACCAAGATAATGACTCGAAACACACTTCAAAGCTTTGCAAGAATTTCTTGATGAAGAAAAAAAAAGAGAATATACTAAAATTAATGGAATGGCCACCACAATCGCCTGATCTAAACCCAATCGAACTTCTATGGGAAGAACTTGATCGTAAAGTAAGGAACCAGTGTCCTACCTCTCAAGAAAGCCTCTGGAATATATTAGAAGCCTCTTGGAAGCAATTAAAGCCAATTATTTTACAAAATCTAATCAACAGGATGCCTAGAGTAGTAAAAAAATGTATTAAGGGCTAAAGGTGGCTTTTTTGATGAAAAGAAGATTTGACTTTTTCTAATCGTAAGGATCTCAAATGATAATATTTTGTTTGGTTTCTTATACTTTATTTAAATAAATATAATATTTTCTTTGGTTTTAATCGAATATTCATGTTTATCTTAAACGTTTTTATCCTTATACCGTAAGTATGCATGGTGTCCAAAGATTTTTGACCGGCAGTGTATTTCAATTAATTTTTTCTTCAATCAATGGAGAATTGATTAAGGAACAAATTCATAATGTGTAAAAGTCGAGGAAATAATTAAGAAGCTTAATAAAATTAAGGAGCTTCGAGATATATAGGTTTAAAGAAAAAGAAAAGTGCAAAACCGCGAAATCTTGATTTAGCAAATTGCACTGGGGTTTCTAGGACTCTAGTATGTAAGATTAAAAATTAGAATAAAAGTGGCAAATCGCTCGGCAGAACAGCTATTACGATTTCTTCATTCTCTTACAATGTCATTCCGTTTTTTTTTTATTCACGAAAGTGTATGAGATTGTATTTTGAACAAAAAATTAATTTTTTAAAGTTAAATGTCAATTTTTCATATTATCACTTATTTTTATAATTATAAGACTTCATGTCTAGAACTTAAGCATTTAAATTAAAAAAATTTGTTGGTATATGCATATTTTTTTATTAAAATATGAACCTTAAACTTTATTTTCCATTTATAATTATTAGATTTTATTAATTTGTTCAAAAGTAACAAATTTTTGAACATATCGCTACTATACTCACATTTGTGTTTATAATTTGCAAAAATAAAATATTTAAACTAATAAATTTGTTAAATTGTGTATAAATCCTTCATTTAGAATAGCTAAAGAAGCTACATGATTTTTTTAATATTTTTTGAACCACTTAATCTATTAAAAAAAATACACCGGACATGAATGGACCCCGTTTACACTAAACAGGTACCTACTACAAAAACATTTACACGATGAGGGTTAATTCTGCTTGAGCACAGCGTTTTGAAAGATAAGAAGAATATACTTGAATCCTATAATTCGATAAAAATACTGTCTAACTACCCAGATAGCATAAATGATCTATTTGAATTGGAAAAGTTCATCTTTTTAAGTTCTTTATGAATTAACATATTGGCTGCGTTCAGCAGAAAAAGCAGCTTTGTAAAATTCTTGAATATGATTGGTTTATACATTTAGATTCAGTGAGAAACTAAGGGCAAGACCAAATATTAAAGAATTTTACAATAGTTGCAAAGCTGGTTTTTCTGTTGAACGCAGCCAATCTATCCTAAATGAACTAAAAAAGAATTACAAAATATATAGATACAAATATATTTATATGTATGTACAAATGTATAAATATTTAATTTACATAAAAACCAAAGTATGATTTAATCTTATACAAAATTAAGAAATAAAAAACGACTAGAAAGCCTTTTAAATCTGAAAAAGAGCTCACAATTGGTGACATAAAAGTGAACTTTTTTTCTCAGGAATAATTTAGAACAGAAATGGAATGAAACAGAAATTCATTTCGTAAGTCGGAAATTAAAAAAGAATTCTTTTCGGACTTTCTGTATTATTTGGATATATATTTTTATATATGTGTAATAAATATAATACATTATTATACATATTTATGTATAATATGTTATTTATAGATTATATACAATAGTATATATTATACAAAAAATATAAGTTTATATATATTATAATATATAAAATATAAGTTTATATATATTACACAATATAAATAATAGCTAATAATATTTATATACATTTATATATAGCTTTATACATAAATTTATATATTACTTTATATATAAATTATAAATTACATTTATATATTGATAAATATATATTATATATCACGCCAATAAGCGTGAAATGCAATTAGCAAGACAGTAATGATGCATTAGTGATTCGCACAAATTCGAATAAACGCTAATCAATCGGTAACGGCGTAACAATTAACTTTGGTAATGCATTTCGTGGCATACAATATATTTTTCTATCGAATGGTGCAATTCCGAGAAGTACAATAGATATATTGCACATACAATAGTATATACATGTTGTATATATCTGTACATGTTATTGTCATTCCATATATTTCATTTTATATCTATAGTGCAGTGAATGTTTTATTTTTAGTTGATAACCAATCCCAGTGACTAACTATTAATTTAGCGCGACAGCCACACTACTTTCGTCAAATATTTATTCTGTATACCATATTCCATAAATTTTTTAATCTAAGATTTTTTTGTACAATATGTAACAAAGACTTTTTTTTATCAAAAACTTAATTGATCATTGTGTCCTTTTAAATAAAATAATATTAAAATTTAAAATCTATTAGAATTATAGAAAGATTTATTTGAAATTATAAACGGGATGTATTATTATTATTGCAAAATATCATAAAATCAATAAGTTATTTTTAATAAATGATACCTTCAAAATTTCTATCTTTGTAAAAATATCTTATTTGCGAATTTAATATACGTTCCTTCACTATTGTATGATATATAAGATATAACGTTATCAGTTTACAGACGAATTGTTGAATGATTAACACAATATGAGGCAAGTCTGTGCTCATGTTTCAGGTTGAAATGCTGTACCAACGCTACTTTCTACGAATGAATCAAAGTAACATGACACATGTACTCGGTCTACTGGTCGGTTTAGCGCTGGCACTGGGCCTACTACTTATCATGAAGTTAATGCTGACCGGCAACCAGCCGCTCTTCACACTCCTACAGAGACCTGAAAATCTTTCCCTCGCAATCACCCTAGTGACCTGTATCGTCATTTACGCCGGTAAGACTCAATCTCCACTAATTAATTTTTCACAATTAAAGTTTCTCATTTTAAAGCGATAATTCCGAGATGCCAGAATTAAGTTTGCATTTGCTCTTCAAGATTTATCTGAAAGTAACTTTGTACTAGTTTAAGGAATTTATTTAAAATATTATTCCAGAATTTAAAAAAATTCAAATATTGCTTTTCTTTGTATCTCCGCGTTTTCCTGAATCAATTTAAAATCTATTTTGAATATCATTTTCAATTAAAAATTCAATTTAAAAAATGTTTATTTCTATTTATAATTAAAACCAATTTATAAATACGAGTATATATATATATATATATAAATTTAACTTTACTAAAATTACAATTATATCAAAGAATTCTACAAATTTTCGATAAACTTCTATGTTCCTTTCATCGCATGAAAAATCAAATTCGAATGCTCGGAATATCTGCGGGAAAAAAAATCTAATCGTTCAACGTTGGTATATCACGTCAGAAACTTATTTACAGAAAAATCTCAAGCTTTCATAAAATATGCAGTTGAACATTACTGGAATTGCATCGAAATAGCTCTGTAGTCAAATGTCGCGAACGATGCTAAAAGACGTGCATTCTATAATGCTATCCTCTATGTATGTGGAGAATCCCTGTTTTCCCTGAGCCTCAATGTTTCACGAGGTTCCAGTATCAATAATGCATGAGAATATTGTCTGCAAGTGCTGTTTCCTTTCGAAAGCGTCAGAACACGCAATGAGACCCGCTTTTCGCATCGCAATAACTCGCAGGACTCATTTCTCTGTGCCTCCTTTTCGACCAGCACGAGCTTGACCAAATAATGTCGCATTAGTAACTTAAATCGAATTTTCTGAAGAAACTTACTTATGTGGAATGTTTAATGTAAAAACTTACTTATGTAGAATGTTTAATGTAAAAACTTGGGAAGCCTGTGATATAAATAATGAACCTTTCTCTCGATGTTCGCATGAGAGACAAAATAGTCTAGAAATCGCGAAAAAGCTGTTGAAATATCATCCACTTTAGTTTAAAATATATATCGAATACTCATGCCATTTCGTATTGACTGTACATTTCTAAATGTGTTCTTCAAACACTTCAAAACGTAAGAATCAATAATGAATAATAAATTTCCTTTCAATATTAAATAAAGTATCTTTCCAGACCGCAACATAAATACACAACAAATATAAAATAAAAGCCCCAAACGGTCAAGCTGGATCTTTAGTGCTTAAATAATTCGTGAATTTATATACTCATATTCAATCCTGCAAACTGCGCGCCGAATTTAACTTTCAGTCTTGAAACGCGCAATTCTATTATATATAACAAAAATTATATATAACAGAACTAGAGTAGTAATATCACAAATTAAATTAACAAGCAAATTAATAATATTGATGCATTTTAGAAAGATCTTAATAATCGATACCGATAGGCATGTTAAAACCTGTAAATAATTTTATTGCGAAAAATATTTCCTCAACCGGAATTCGAAATTTCTTTTCAGCTTTGGTAGCAGCTATTTCAAGACCGGGCATGAATGAGATATGGTTGGCGGGCGTTAGTGGTGCAGTGCTAGTCACTCTACTGGCCTTACAAGTGACTCTGAGCATTCATTTGGCGCGACTGCACGAAATGGGCCGCGAGAGTACCGGCGATACATCATTCTCCTCGAAGTCAAAGGATCTTCGAACCGGAGGTCCTCTCGCTGCTGCCTTAATGGTCTGCTTCTTCATCTATATGGCCTACGCTCTTCTACCGATCAGACTCAGACACGCCTGTATCGCCGGGATTGTTTTCTCGGCCGCTCACCTCATCGGAGCCTTCCTTCTCTACCCGCACTATCCATCGATGATAGCTCACGTGAGTCCAATCAGTAGTTAGCAGACTTCGTTTATATTGAAAAAAAGTCCCTTTACAAGTTGGTAAAAAGACTTTTTCCATCAATATCTTCGTTAAAAATGATCAAAATTTAAATTTAAAAAAAGGCTTTTAAAGCTTGAAATCTCTACTTTCGAATGGTTATTATATTTTTTGAATTTATATGAGTTTTGTAATTTTTACATATAGAAAACTACGAGCTGAAAAAAATAAAAAATTTTCTTTTCACTTTGTAGGTCCGTAGCGTGCCAAAAAAAATTTGAATAAATTTTTGACTATCTATCGTAAAAGCTTGAAGCTTTTCCTATAAAATTGTTTTTTAAAAATGTTCCTACGATTTTTTATTCCTGAGTTATTCGCGAATTAAGTAAAAAGGAACATTCTGACTTTATTGCTCGTAACTCCGTTAAAAATCATCGTATCGCAATTAAAAATACAGATTCTTAAAGCTGAAATAAGTTGCTCTATCAAGTGGTGTAATTGCCAATTTTTTAAAAATAGAATATATAGGTTGCTAAAAAAAGTCTTTTTACCAACTTGAGAAAGAACTTTTTCCTTAGCTTAATATTTAAGATTCTTCGAGATCTTGTCACGTATTAAATTTGAAAAACGTATGTACATTACTTTCTAATTTTCTTAAATATAAATTGATCATATAATAAAATACAAATTTAATGAGGATGATAAGACTCTCGTAAAAGTTTTTAATGCTTTGTAAGTAAAATCGTCTAAGTTCCTTAATTTAGGAAATGTCCTTAATTCTTTCTTCTTAACTTAACGAAATAAATGGTACTTTTTATTGAATGTGCGATCAAAATTGGATTTTGCATATTTAATTTTAGATCTAATAATTAGATCGGTCTTAACATTTTAAACTTTTAATGGTTTTTAAAAACGACTTTATGTTTTACATCACAATAATTTTGAAGGAATTACGAGTATGTATTTATTTTCGACCGCAAAGAGAATCAATTCTGTGAAGTGTTCGATAATAAGTGCACTAGATAATCAGAGCGATATTTGATGTTAAAAAGTTTCCTGCTTTGTTGCGACACGTGACAATTATAAGCCACAGATTCGTGTTAATTAGCGAGTGTTCATTTACTACGTTTGGCAGCAATTAGCGAAAGTAGGTTACTGATGATATTAATTAATCAATGTTGTGAGAAGCTCATAATATGTACATTGTACATTTCCGGTATGCATTTCCGGTATATCGCCACGTGCATCATGATTTGTATTTTCAATTACGATACTGTTTATTGTATTTCAATATATATTATTTGAATCACATGTAATAATGTGTATATAACAATTATATCAAAAATTTTATGATTCTTTAAATAAAGTATTAGAATATAAATAAAACGAATTCATGTATCTGATAAATAGAAAAATTAGGTATTTTATGTTACGTAGAATATTCAAAGCTAATATAAGCAATGTAAAAAACTAATTCTTTAATTATAAAATTAAAAATTATTTAGAAAAAAGTTATCTTGTATTTATTGCATTTTATGTAGTATAAAAGATATCATTTAAGTTAGTAGGAAATTTAAAATAATAGACTATAGCCTACCGTAATCTCTTACATTTCTATTTTGTTTGATATGGTCATTATAATTTCTGCTGTGGCTAAATTTAAGATTAACCTTGATAAACTCTTTGTGAAATGCTGAAATTGATCTATAAAATATTCCTTTAGTGCCTAGTATCGATACTTCGTGATTACCGGTGCTGGAAATGACAGTGCGAATAACAGTGCGATTAATTTAGCAAAACTGGCATTGTAATCAATACATATCGTTATGGAAATGGTTAGAGTTCGCGAAGTGACATACCTGGCGACCATACACATACCTATTAACGGTGTACAAAGTAGGCGTTGAATGCCCGAAACGAGATATGTTGTTCGCAAATAGCTGGCGAACTGAATTGGAAATCTAATTAAAGCGAATCTCGGTCTGTTTCGATCCTTGCCAGAGGATATTTTGACATGGTATTAATTTCTATTGTTGGATCGTAAACGTAAGTATCCGCAAATGCGATTGCATGATTTGCGTTTTCCCTTCAATTCTTTGAATCTTTTTTTCACCAAAACGAAAAAAGAAAAATAAACACCACCAAAAAAAACATTTAAAAATCTATAATCAATTATTAAATCAGTTCTCCATAAAACTATTCGGATGAGAGTTACAAATATAAAAGATCAAACAAGAAATATTCCATGATTTTTCAAAGAGAACCTTAATAAATCTCGATAAATTTATTTAATAACTTCAGTTATGATCAAAGAAACATGAAAACAAGAAATAAACTAAGCATTAAGATTGCAATCAGAAAACTAGCCTTATTCTTACGACTGCATTCGTTACAAATCTCATTAACTTACACTGTGATAAAAGAGCGTTGACTAGCTGCCTTGATAAGAAATAAGAAAATAAATCAACGCTACGCGGAAAAAGCTAAAGAGAACATCGTGCTAGATGTCGGCCCTACTTGTTGTGAAGTCTCGTGGAAAGAATTTCGTCTTATTGCATGTCTGGACGTTCCCATCCATCAAGTTCCCGCCTGGATTCCCTCTTGTCGCGCTCTATTTAAGTTTTATCACGTCGAAAACTCAGAATTCCGCGTAATTACGAACGTATCGAGACCGCGTTTTGTCTCCCGCCGTCACCAAAGAACCTAATCAATTTTCTATGGCGAATGCAAATAGATCTATGACTATGTTTACATAGCACTCTTAATTGGGTTTAATAACATCGTAGTTGTGGAACTGTCCAATTACAGTCATTTCATTTTTTACAGAAGTAGTTATGATTGGCCAATTTCATAAATATGGATGTTATTAAACCCGATTAAGGGTATCGTGCAAACAGTTTACAACTAAAGCTGATCAACCGATATTAATAAAGAGCCAGTAATATTTGAGTTACAATATTTGCACTAGTAATTATAAAGGTCATTCTAAATTGCTGATATGAAACAATAGAATTAATTATGTAATTAATTATTGTAGTCTCATACAGCTGTTCATAATCTATAATAAATATTTATTGTTAAAAAAATTGCTACATATAGCAAAGGCATTTCAAATTTATCCTCTTATTAAAATATTGAAAAATATTATTTTAATGTATAGCCATTTTTCATTACCTTTTTAATAAATAAAACCGCAAAGATATAATTATTTAGAGATAATTATATGCGGTTTAAATCATAATGGAAAATATACTCAGGATGTGGATAGATTAAATTAAGTAATTTGGCTGGCTAAAATAGGCTAGCGAAACTTGATAATTTGGACAAAGTGGATCGCATATCACAATCTCTTTCAAATATGGTTTCTATTAGAATCCGCGTTGCGCACGTCGCAGTCAGCGCATTAATAATTCATTCGGCTTGTTATTTTCACGTTCGGGAGAGTAATGTCATTTCATCGGTCAGGTACACGTCAAGTCCCACAAAATGGACCGTAATTGCTTTTCGCACCGCCGCGCGCAATATATACGGCGACTCCGATATAACGTTAAAGGCTCAGTGGAGACCTTACGCTTTTAGATAACTTGAATTGTACGCTATGCGGAATGAAAGATATCGTTCTGTAGTTAATAAAAGATGCTCTCGTTAAAGTAACTGTCAGAAAGAATCACGCGCGATTTTACAACATAATTAATTAACGAGCTGCAGCGAAGAAGTCACGTTTGCAGGAAGCATTTCGAGTACTATCACGTAGAATCAAATTAACTCTTGGAAACTGTCAAGCTATTATATATAATTACATTCTAATTATATTCTGTAAAAGAGATACTCGTGTAATTCTACGATATTTCGTTATTTTATTGTCGCTACCGCTAAATGTTAATCTATGAAAAATTATTCTTGTTAAATTTTTAATATTGCGAAAAAGTGGAATGATAAAAAAATAATTATTTTATGCATACAAAATTTCTATGATCTTTGTCCGAAAAATAAACCAAAGTTGCTAACTTTGAACTTTAAGGAAAAAATGCAAGGTAAAGCAAGACGAAATAAATTCATAGCTAAATAAAGCTCTGAACAGTTTATTAAGAATCAAGAGTGCTCATAAACCGACCCTTACTATGGCAAACAATTTGATCCCTTAAGATGAGAGAGGCTTTTGCGAGGTACTTTCAACGAGTCGAGGTCGACTAAAGATCGTAAAAATTTCAGTAAAGTCGACAATAAAATATCGCAGCTGCTTGCGATTACATTGCTATTTAGACTATTAACTTGTCTCTTGTCATATACCGTGTCTTACTTTTGTCGCGAAACAAAATTTGCGACACTAAATTTATCATTCAACAAATAAAAAAATATATAAATTTACTTATTAAAAGAAATAAAATAAGTATTCCATGAAACTTTTAGAGAAAAGATAAATTTATCACAAAATCCATAGAAGAAAATGACAAGGATAATAAAAACAAAAAGTTATATAAAATTCAATTGATAGTAAAAAGTTTTACTGTTACTTGCGATTTACGCTTGTTAAAATCTTTTTGCAAAATCCTCTTGCATAAAGTACCTTAATAAATTACTGTGTACTAACTGTTTTTTAAGCTTCAGAGTAAATTACGCGAGAACATTCTTTAATATGTTAAAGATAAATGATATAAAAAATATTTCATCTATAATATACACCCACTGTTGCTTTAATCTCGTAAACTGTCAGTTCAGCGTATTTTTCGTTCAGCGAAGATAAATTGAAAAATAATATACTGAAAAAAATGATGTGTCAACAATATTATTTTAAAAATAATTTTATTAATTCACAGTATCACCATTAATGATACAAATTAGTTACGCTCATGTTTTAATAAAATTTTATTTATTTCATTAATATTGTTGTTAAAACATAATTTTTTTCTTCAGTGTACTTGAACTTATATTATACTAATCGGCTTATTACGTAAGTCATTATTGATCATTCCGGGACATATCACATTCACTTAAAAAAA